TTTAATTGTGTTACCACAGAGCCGTCTATATATATTCCTTGCCTGTGACTCATCCATTCAAGCGCGGAGGAATACCAATGGCGGGAAGAGCATCAAGCGAGACGAAAACTAGTGCCCGGGAGACGAGTGACAGCCAATCGAAACCACGAGTATTTATTATTGGTTCTGGTATTTATTGAGATTGCAGACTGATTGATTGATCTATTAGTCTTCTCTCGACTCGGATTTATATCTTAAGAGGAAGGAAAACGGAGTTTGTCGTACTTTTTCCTATGACGTTTGAATATATATAGGTTTTAGACCAATTGTCCGATAATACGTTTATTAAAGGTTCTGTCAACTTAAACCTTCATTCATATCGATATATTCACGTTAACATAATCTATCATATCATTAGGGCATTGGTGTGAAGATGCCGATGCCCATGTTAAAGATGAAAACTTAGATTAATGAGATATTTAACAAACGAAATTAATCCGAAAACGCCTTGGGACGCGTAACCTAACCTAACCTCATTTCCTGTTGCACACATATTTTTACTGATGCTATAGCGTAGCATCAAGAGACCCGCTATGGAGATACTGAAAAAGTGGCATTCGGTGAACACTCTCCTAAGGTACTCTCTCATTTATAATTATCTATTTAAGATTTTTTAGACGATATAGAAGGTTCGCTTCCTTGCTTTCTTAGCGAGGAAAGTGACGGGTATTTGTCTGTGTGTGGATACTATCCGTTGGACTTAAAAAGAAAGAATAATGTCTGTCTGCGTGAGTTAACAATTGGCAGAGACGTGAAGTAGACAACTCAATTCCTAACTCGTTCAAAATCCACTCGAAATATCCTACGCTACAACACACACGAAAAACGAAAAAAAAAATACCAAAAACGGAAGAGAAAAGTACACAATTCCACGAGACAAGTTCCAATATATATATATTCTTTATTTTATAGTATTTTTTCGAAACGAGGATCAATATTTTGAGTTAGAAATAATTACATGAAATTAGTGGTCCAATGCATCCTCTTTGCTTTCGATAGTGATTGGATTGTACACCTGTGGTTTCTTGCCTGAGGTGATCGTCAGGTTAATGAAGATGTCTGTCACTCAAGCGTTCATTCATAAGTACGTACACTGCTGAATGAAATGGAGTGTACAGTTCGAGGTCCTTATGAAATCCTGTATGTCTGTGTGTCGCTTTCTCTCCCTATATTTGTCTCAGTCTCTGTCTTTGTCTGTCTCGAGAATTTAAATACAATCTGAAGACATGTTTTTTTACTCTTGTAATTGTATAATCAACCATTTTATAAGGAATAATGTGAATAGCTGATCTTTCATGCAGCCTCCAAAGGAATCAGAAGTGTTCCATTTTTTTCACGAAATAAAATTTAATGCGCTTGTAACCTGGAATTAAGGCCAGTTATATTTCCTTTCCAGTAGGCAGATGGATATACCTTTCATATATGTATGATATGCTAATGTTCCCTAACTGTTCTGCCTTATATAGACATACTAACACATGAAACATATGGACCAACAGCCTAGACTATGATTGCAGAATCCAGACGGGAAACTTTTGGGTAAAAGATCAGGCTATTCATCCTTATTTCGGAATACGCATGTGTGATAAATGTTCTGTCTAGTGTCAGAATGTGAAAACGTATAGGTTGCCTCATTTTCTTACGAACTAACCTTTTATATTTTCTTCATTAAAAACAAAGATCCATTAATTTGATATTTTAGAACCAATAAAAGGAAATAAGAGATTGAGTATTAGAAACTTAACACACACATACACACATACATACAACACTCACTCACACACAAATGAAGAGAGAGAGAGAGAGATAGAGAGAGAGAG